AGCATTGGAAGTGCTTCAAAGACTTGTGGAAACATTTCTACTCTCATATCAGGCCCCGAGGACTGCTTTGCTAAACTCTGTTTAGAAAGCAGGAGGAGTGACTTGTGGGAAGAGTTGGGAGGTAAAGCCAGTGTGAATCCTTTCCCCCTGTTAGCTTGCAGTCCCTCCTGTAGGCTGCCGGGTATATGGTGTTGATTATGGAGATGAGCGGCTATAAACTCAATATTTTCCGAGGTGCGGTGAGAAGACTGTAAAGTAGGCAAATGCCTCGTCTCTCTCACAGGAGAGCCATAGAGTGAGCAAGCTAAATGGGTGTAGAGGGATTCAGATGGCTTAGTCAGGATAAGGAACTGGGATCTAGTGGTATGTTTCTCTCATTTGTGTCTCTCTGCCTCTCTCCCTCTATCACTATCTGTTTTCACACCCCCAAAGGCCTTATTTACAATCCTTTACTTCTCACGCAGCAGTGTGCGACGGCGGCAGTGGGTAACAGAAATTGAAACGTAAGCCTCACAAAATCCCTGGTCATCTGCTTTTAGAAAATGCACTCATGAATTCACAATAAGCACTCAACTTAAGCAAGCATTTGGTACACTGAGTTAACAGCATTATAATTAAAAAGTAATTTGATATATGACAATGTGTGGTGCAGTTTTTCAGAGTTGTCCCACTGAAGTTGAGCAAACATTTGCTCTGCTTAATGATTCATATTCCTCAGTATTACTCCCACTTTCTTTGTCAGTCTGTGCATTGTAATTTCTGCTATCCCTGCGAGCGCAGCTTCCCCCAACTGCTATGCATCTGTCTTTAGTAGCGCTCATCAAAGACCAGTGGCTCCCCTGACGCCGTAACAAGAATCCAGGATCAAGTTGCTCTACTTTTATTTATGTGTAGGGCTGTGTGTTTAAATATCTTCTCGCGATCTGAGAGCTTAGACTGATTTGACCCAGCCATTATTTCTGTGGTAGGGACCACAAAAAAAATCAGACCTCTGTGTCTCAGGAGAGATCGAATCAAAGACCGGAGATACAGAGGAGGAGAGAGAGAGTCAGTCAGTTTAGGTAATTTCAGAGTCAGTCAGCCACTTGCCTGTCAAGCAAGTAGCTTCTCAGCTGTCTGCTGATGCCAGATGAAGTAAGAGACATGCCTAAGCATTAATGGAACTGAAACAAAAATAAACCATTTCCAAGTATAAAAAGAGATGCACATACACAGCTGCGTAGAACTTGGCAGTGTTGCCTTTGATTTATTCCTCTGGGGGAAGAAGGACGGTATTTGTGTGTTTGGAGGAGGGGGAAAAAAAACATGGCACACAAGGAACATTCCAAGTTCGCCACAGGAAATCAATTTATTTGAGAGGGCAGCCAGGCTAAAAATAGGGAAGCCCCAAACAATAGAGTTGGAATTAATTGCCCAGATTTTGTGCAAAGGCAAGAAGACTCCAGAGAGCCAAAGTTTGTTCTCAGTCTTGTTTTCATATGTGTGTTATGGAAATATTAGTCTGGTCTAGTTGTCATGTTGTTTTGTTTTTGGCATATTTCTGCGTGTTTTGCAGCTGTCAAAACAGAACTGAATTCTCAATCATTTCCCTCCCTGATATGACGACTTGCCACTTGTCAACACCACTGCCAGCTGCCTTATTTGACAGGATATGATGATTTATCACAAGTTCTCCACAGTAAATAGACAATAACTGTTTTGTCACACTCCACCGAGTTCTAACTGGGTTTTCGGGGAGTGTGTGAGGGAGTGCTGTAGGGGCCTTATGGGGGCTGATGTGCCGTTTTTAATGAGATCTCACAGCAGTGTTTAAATATTTAACCGTTCCTGGTGAAGCCTCCCCAACAGCCGCCAGGCAAAAACTGGTGAGGTTTCATGCAATCATCACAGACTGTACAGCACCTATCCCCTGAAAACATCAGAAAATAAGCACAACCTGAATATATAATGGCATCCTGAATACACAGCCTGCTGTGCCTAACGCCTGCACCTATCGACAGAGATGCTGTCTTTGCCCCTGCAAATAAGTATTCACACACCATGACAAAGGGTGAGCATGATGATGAAAAGCTGTTGAATTATACATCTGTTTTTTGATGGGATATTTTAAAAACTTTATTTTCTTTTTTCCCTCCCTTCCCAACAAAGTAATTCCCCCATCTCTGCCTCGCTTTTGCCTTTTTTCCGCCTCATTTTGAGCTTTTGCTGGATGCTTTTTGACAAACATCTCACCACCGATCAGTTCAACTCCTACACCCTTCGTGTTTTTACATCCCACCACCCGTCATTCACGGAGAACGGGGCTGGGGTGTCTGCCACCACCTGCTGTGTTCAGAGGGAGGTGGTAGTGCTGTGTATGCATGTGGTGTGTTTATGAGTGCAACTGTGGAAGACTGTGAGGGAAGGGGGGGGGGTTGCACGCTGGAGGTTCAGTAGGAAGTGTGGGTCAAGAGAAGGCTGAGAAATTCGTATTGTGATCATGTACTTTAATTTAGTCTCCTGGATATCTCAAACTCAATAATATAATCTGATTATTTCCCCTTTTAAACATGAGTATTTTAATCTCGTGTTTTAAATACCCCCTTAGACATATTTTGGAGTTTAGTTTTTGCAGTCGCTTTATTTTAATCAGATTTTTCTAATCCAATTTGGTGTAATGCCTTTACACACCAACCCCTGTTTCGTGTGTTAAGGAGGTTGAGGTTGGCGAATATTTAGGAGAGACCTCAGATGGTATTTGAAGCTGCTCGTTGAATGCTACATACAGTATTTGGGGGTGAGGATAGGGTTTGGGAAATACGCCGTACCTGCCAGCTGGAGGAATCTGGAGAGACTTGAGCCCACAGATGACAGCATCCGCAGCGTCTCCCTTCACTCCTGCCCCCCCCCCTTCTTCCTCTATCCTCTATCCACCATCCTCTCCTCCTTTTCCAGTCTTCCCCTTGGCTTCCCTCTTTTATCCCCCCCATCCTCCCCCAACGCAGACAGCCCATCCCTGCCTGTCTAGCTAACTCAGCTCTCACCCCAAAAAAAAATCCACCATCATATCCAGTCACTGCTCTAAGGCCCTACTGATTGAAAGGAGCATTATTAGCCCCTGCTAACCTGCTCATTCACTGTGTAAAATGTTGTTTATTTGACAAGGGATGTATATAGACGTTGCTGTAGGGTCTTTAGAGTTTGGCAGACACTTGGTTCCAAATCATATGCATGACTCCTCTTGCCATGCCGCTTCATGTGGCTGCCAAGTGAGGCCCACTGGGGTCTTTGCCAGGGGACTCAGACTACTATTCAAGCCCTCCCTCCCACCCCCCTAACACACACACACACACACACACATACATAAAAACACCTTGTGCTTCCCCCGATGCCCTCTCTCCCTCCCCCAACCTGTACCAGCTCCATGCCCTCCCACCCCTACCCCCTCAGTCTCCATACCACACTCATTATTAATGATCTGAGGGACAGCTTTCATTTGATCTATTACTTAGAATGGGACGGCGGCTGCTGTGCTGCTGCATCCCTGCTGGATCTTTAATTATTTCATGGAGGGCTTTCCTCCTCTCTGCTGCTCCTTCTCTGTTGTGCAGATGAAATATTGAAGTTGAGGAGTGTAGTGCAAAGTGGCCCCATACAGTGTGAGGTGTGTGTGTGTGTGTAGTGTACTGTATATTTGTGTGTATAGACATGTGCGAGCTGCTCCTGACGGATCTTAGCTTTTCCGTAAATGCGGTTTGGACTTTTTTATCTCGCAACTTCAGTAGTGAGGTCACAGATTGGAAGCAGATTGTGCTAGTTATTAAGTTTTTCCCTCAAACTGCAGTTTGGAAACACATATCTTCAATGTGCGAGTTGTTGTTATTGTTAAGACCTCGGAGTGTATCCTGGCTATCTGACAAAAACAGCAACAAATCCTTAATGTCTCAACATGGAAAAACACTATTAGCAAATGTAAAGAGAGTTATTTCAGTGCATGTGTAATGTAGTGTGATTATGGGCCATTAATGTCATATTACAGTAGTGTTGAGGGGCAGTAATGGCATGATATCACCACTCACTTTTTGTTGCCAAGAATAACAAAGCATAACATCTGACATGGAAACATGGCTGACACCAGAGGCACACACAGCTCTGCATTCAGGTATGATGTACGGCGTGGAGCCTAATTGCTTTGCTCTCCTACTTCATAAATTTCAGACTCTCTTGAGACAGAGGCTACTGTGTTAATGGCAATCAAAATTCCACGCAGCTCCAGCTCCAGATTCACTTTGTGTCGTACGGCACATCCGCAGCGTCACCGGGTAGCCTACGAATTCAATAAACCCTTCGGAGATACTTACCTCATGTAGGAATCCATACTCCATAAACATAATGACACCTTATTTTGCTTTATGTGATTACATGTGATGGTATGATTTGCATCCACGGCACCTCTCCACTCAGTAAAACATTGGATTGCCGTAATTGGTAGTAGGAGTAATCCATACGCTTATGTGGGGGAGCACCGGAATGACATTGATATACAGCGCTCCATTAATTGCCATATGAATAGGGTCTGCAGTGGTTGGCGCTCTGCTGATGCATCACAGTAAAAGAGATGGGTCACTCTGTCTTCTCCAGCCCGCAGCTTTGCCAAGCTCATAATTACTAAAACCTCCAATTAATCTTCCCATCACATAGGCCAAATATACACTTCCTCCATATATATGTATGGGTTACAGTATATGCTTTTAGTAAATGCGCGGGCCTGTGTGCGTGTTTGTGTGTTTACGCAAGTGTGTATGTACATTTACGTGTGCTCACTTGCGAGTGCGCCCATGAGAACATCAAGTACAAACAGCACTATATGTTCTCAGTGTGCTCTGTGGCTCCACTGCGAGCCACTCAGGTTATCAATACAAGTGGCATCAGTTGTGTCAATATCACAGCTGAACTAAAGGGAATTGTTATCTGCAGTGCAACAAGGACTCTTATTTTGTAGGAAAGAAGAAAATAAAAGCAAAAGTGTTCACAGAGTTTATATGCACGTATATAATCAAGCTGAACACAGACACACTTACATACAGGTTGTATAACTTATTGATAGCTTTACATAAGACAAACAGGAACCCCCAAAACAGAGGTAGAACCAAGATATTGTTTTGAAAATCACAAGTAAGTGTAAAGTCTTTGAACTCAAGTCCTAATTCGAGTCCCAAGTCAAGACATGCAAGTTCTGATTTAAGTCCAAAGTCAAGGCTGACCAATCCCAAGTCAAGTCCCACTGAATTTCTGGTCCTCTACAAGTCACAGTGCGCTCTTCACCAAATGTTGTACTGCTATTTCAACCACAGACTAATAGTATATTGCATTTAAAATAATTATGAATGCTTTTTAAACACTGAAACAAGTGCGACTGAACTTAAGCATAAAACACAACGCTGATATTGTACTTTCTTAGCATATAGCACGATTAACCAATACCACGACAGAAGGAATTCTGTAGTCTGTCCTGTCTCGTATTCAACTCTTCTCATATTGGAAAAAATGTCTTTAACTTTCCCCTTCCAAATTGGTTTGGGGGGAAGGTATCAAGCATTTTCAAGTCAAAAGCTCAAGTCAAAGTGAAGTCATGAGTGTTTGGCGTTAAAGTCCAAGTCGACAAGTCAAGTGTAAACGACAAACCGATAGTGTCACTGTCTTTTAATTTGAAACATGTTTTTAACAAATTAAAAGCATGTTATCGGAGTGTATTTCACTGTTTTTATTCTTGTGGATCTATTAAATGTTTTGAGATTTGGATTTTTGCACACTTATGCACTTAAATGGACTCTATCTGACTGGTGCTTATATAAATATTTCTATCCATTTCCTCAGTGTCCGTTCGAACACAAATGGTAGTCAATGAGTGCAGCTACACTGTGTCTGAAGGCTACACTGTCTGATTTCTGAGAGGTCACAACAGCAGTTAAGTGCACACTTCTTCTTGACAATACTTTTGTGCGTGTGCGTGTGTGTATGTGTGTCAGAATCAGTCCATGCATGTGTGTGTCTACATGAATATGTATGTCTGATTGTAGCATGCAGTTCTGGCCCCTGGCCATTCAACCTTTACTCATTCTGAAAAGAATCTCTTCTCCACACTCCAGTCTGGCCACCATTCCCCCTACTGAGGCATCCACAACACCTTACTGGCACCCAGTGGCGACAGGGGGTACTACATCCACTTGATGCTTGGCCGACAGCAGGGGAGATGGAGAACTGTTTACAAGTGGCATTTGCCCCTAATTAAAAGCAGCACTTGTTGGAGCACTTGGTCTGCAGAAGGACTAGCATCCACAGTGACGCATGGTGGCCCAGTGATCCTCTGGTAAGCCTTCTCCACTCTGCAACACACAAACACATTGGTGAAAAAAATAAGCATATAAACAGTAAATGACACTTTGCATGCAACAGAATAATCTGTTTTCCTGACAACTTTGAGTATTTTGACTGCTCACAGTTTAGATGGAGAGTGAGGAGAGTGATAAAAAGCACAACATGTGAGAAATTTAGCATGAGAAACAACACAGATGGCTCGGAGAGCAGCCGTTTCCTGAGACAAATGAAGAATAGTCCGTGTGATGGTGATTGAAGTCTGCAGAAACTCTCACACTCTGCGGTAGACAGTCAACTCCCTCCGTTCTCTAATTCTGCTGGCCCAACATCTGGCTGTCCCGTGTGGAAAGGCCATTATGTCAGGACAGAGGATGAATGAAACTAGCCATCGACCTGTCTGCGTAGCGACTATCGGGGCAGCCGGTGCCCTGCGAGTTTTGACCAGCTTAATGGAGCACAACAGCTCAGCAACTAATCACCTGTTCTTTCTCATCAGCTGCTTCCCCCACGGGACAGTAATTGATTGTTAAGTGTTTGATGGATCAGACTAAGACTGAGCTGACCTGACTCAGTGGAACGTGGAGTACAGTTTGTAGCCCATCTGTGGTTTCATGTTTTCACACTCACAGAGAACTGTTTTCATCACAGACTGTGGAACATTTGTCCACACATGTCACATCGCTAAGGGTGTCTACTGTGTTTGTTTTTTTTTCCTCTATCTTTTTCCATCATTGCCAACTCTGTGGAACATACAATACTGTCATACTGGGCCTCAATTAGATTAATAGAATGTGTGTATAATGTCTCAAAGACACAGACAGAATTATATTTATGTTGCAGTGTATGCCAACTAAAAATGTCCAGTTGATATGGTTTGGTGATTTCAGTCTTAAAACTTTATTTAAAACAACTGGTGGAAATTTTTGATGAAATAGTTTACAATTCAGTTTCACTAATGGGGCAAATAACTGGTGGTATGATTGTTACAGTTTAAAGAAAAACTTAACCCGCAAAATGATTATTTGTATATTGCCTATGCACCATGTGTTTCATTGAATTTGTCAAGAAAAGTTTTTCTTGCATGCCTCCACAGTGAGCGAATAATCCAAAAACGGGGGCTGCATTTTAAACAACAGCAAAAGTTTATCAAAATATTTGTTTACTAACTCTCACATAACTTTGGCACTATAATCGAAGTCTCATTTATGCGGCTGTATACTTCGCTAAAAACGTATTATTCAAAACCCTTTGACGTAAACAGTCTTACTAGCGGTTGAGTTGCATGTCTGGGCGAGTGCATGCGTTATAACACTGCTCAATGGAACGCACAGAGTTCAAACACATCCTTGCTGTAATGTACTACCTGTAGGTGGCAGTGTTTTAAATAGTAAGGTTTTAGCAAAACTACTTGTATTTGGGAAGTACTAAGCATACGATTGGATAAATGAGACTTGGATTATACTGCATGAGTTGTGTGAGAGTTTTTAAACACATGTTTTGATTTGTTTTTTACTCCAATTCATCCAGAATTTTCTCAGTTTTTGGATTCTTCGTTCACCGTGGATGCATGCGAGAAAACAGTTGTCCTTCTGAATTCAACGTAACACAGGATGAGTAATTGATATAATACAGATGATCATTTTGTGGGGGAAGTATTCTTTCAGATTGTCACAATCATACCATCAGTCATCTGCCTTATTAGTGATACAAGAGTGGAAACAACAACGTTTTAAGACCGAAAATCACTACACCATATAAACTAAAGCCTAAATAATTTGCTAAGATGGATGTTTTTTAAAGGTGTTCACTGCAACATAAGTATAGTTCTGTAGGTGTCTGAGATTCTATTATATTATTATTAAATATCTCTGGGTTTTGACTTTTGACTGCACATAAACAATTTGAAGACATCACCTCGGGACATTTTGTAGACTAAACAATAAATAAATTATTCAAAGAAGCAATCAGCAGATTAACTGGTTTGCCCTGCATGGTATTTTAAATGTTTAATGGTCAACTGAAGCATGTATGTATGTATCCTTGACATATACGTATTATGTACTTGTAATCCAAATGTCTCACTTGAGTCTGAAAAGCTGGTTGTGGTCCAGCTCTTGTTCCTCTTCAGTCTTTCCTTGACCTCTGTCCCTAAGCCTCCTCATCCTCTCCTCAGGGTCCAGTGTGAGTACGACCACCAGGCTGGGCTGGAGCAGGTCACTGGGCCAGCGGTAAACCTCCGAACCCTCCGCTGGAAGGTTGCACACTGGACCACTCACTGCTGTGGCGATGGCATATGCTGCTGTGCTGTGCCAGAATCTGGAGAAGACAGAGAGTGAATGGTGGATTGAAAGGTGAATGATGGATGGATGGATGCTCAGGTGACTCACAGGGAGAGTGAGACATGTTAAATATTGAACTGCAGGTCTAGATCCCAGTGGAACGTATCTATTGTCTCTCTATCACAAAACAGGTCACGAAACAGGCAAACGTCACAACACCTGCGACATCTCAGGTGTCTTTACCTGTCAACGATGACAGGTGTCTTCATGCCCTCCTGGACGATTTGTTTCGCTGTGATGTAGTTCCCCAGAGCATAGAAGGCCCTGCGGATAAGTGGCGGCTCCCGATCAAAGCGGGCCCTCATGGGGGACAGGCACTGGGGAGGGGACGGCATGAGAGTGGCCCCTAGAGTATCCCTCAGAGACTCAGTCAGAGTGGTCTTACCTGTGATGGGGAGAAGGAGGAAGGACAGAGTCATGTCATGTACAAAGATGAAGCAAAAAAAGACTGAGAGGTTTTTTCTTTCAGAGAACAAAAAGTTGAATTCACCACATTTTTCTTTTCTTTAAATGTAATACAGGAGTGAAGTGACTCTTGAAAAGTTCAACCTCCCATCCTACCTACATGGTTGACTTTTCATGAGGTTTGCAAAGAGTATTAGATGAACGAGCTCTTCAATAAACCATTTTCATAGTGATGTAACTTTCCTGAGGTCATGATACATGATATTCCATTAGGCGAATCTCGCTGGCAGATAATGGCTTTAGCAGAGAACAACTGGCCATCACTTTAGCGAGACATCTATACATCAAACTGATCCCCATATTTATTTATGAGGTAATGGCATTAACCTGTGGCATCCAGGCCCTCTATGACAATAACAGGGAAGTCTGGTTTACTTCTGGCCTCCGCTCTGCTGGGCAGCAGCTCCAGCACAGACGTCGCCTCTGGGATGATGTCACCGCACTGCAGAACAGACAAAATCAGTTTGCTGCTGTGAGAGGAGGCAGGAGGGAGTCATAGACTGTGGTGCTGCATGAACACACACACACACAACTGTGGGCCACCTGGCAATGAAGAATAAATGAGGCATTAAGGGAGCAGTGTGTAACATTTCGAGGGATTTAGTGGCATCTAGTGGTGAGGATTACAGCTTGCAACCAGCTGAAAATTCTCCCAGTTAGAATTCCTTCAGTGGTTATTGTTCAGGAGGTTTTAACTAGGAGCTAAATTATCCACAGAGGTTGCTTCCTCTCCACAATAAACCTGCTTATGTGTGCTCACCTATTTTCTCTAATAACTTAATGTGTGCTCACCTTTTTATGATTCAGATATTCTGGAGGTTTTGACCAGGAGCTGAATTATCCACAGAGGTCTCCTCTCCTCCAAAACAAACGGACCCACTGATTTAAACCAGTGGGTCCCAACTGGTGGGTCGCGGTCCAAAAGTGGATCGAGGGTCCATTCTGAATGGACCACAGTTAACTTGCAGATGTGTCAAGTTTGTTAAAAAAAAAAAAAAAAAAAAAACTGTATTTTGATGTACAATGGATTTCTGGCACAAAGCTTTTCTTTTGAAATGCCGTTTCCTGCTGTAGAGTGAGTGATTAATGGACAGCTATTTCTGAGAGGCAGCAAACTAGTTCAAAGACATGGCCAAACACAAGTATGTCACTGAATATATTAAATTTTGTGGACCTTGAACTAATGACTAAGGAGAAATCTGGACCCTGTGGCTGGACCAGTTGGGAACCGCTGATTTAAACAGGTACAAACACTTGATAAAGCAGTTTTACATTACAAATCACTGTCTCTCCAATGCTGTTTGGCATCTAAACTTTTTTCTCTGGTGACTTAAGTTCCAGATGTTCAGGAGGTTTTACCAGGAGCTAAATTATCCATAGAGTTAGCTTCCTCTCCAAAACAAACAGACCAGGGGTCTCAGTTATAAACACTGTACGCACAAAACGAGGCCTGAAAGATGTCTACGCCACTTCACACGCAAAAGTTGTGATCTAAACTTTGACTCATGCTCATGTGCATTTTGGAGACAGGAAATTGGCCACATAGATGGTGAGGTGGGAGCCTGATTGTAGAAATTGTTGAATATTTTTTTTGGTGCAAGGCATTTTTGGCTTTTGTCTGTACGTACATTTTTAGTATGGATCCTACACATTGTTTAATAAATGAGACCCCAGGTGATAAAGACCGGTAAAAACACTGAATAAAGCAGTTTTACATTAAGAAAATGAGTGTTTTTCCGACACTCTTGTAAAAGAGGGGCTTCTGTCTACTGGGGCCAACACGAGATCGCAAATAGCCCTAACTAGAGCCAGTGTTTGGTTTGTCTGTTCCAGGCTACTGTAACAACACGGCTGTAACAAGGTGATGTCTATAGATGAGGACCCCCTATATATAGATATAAACAACTCAATCTAAGGTAACAAAAACACAACACTTATTAATTTCAGGTGATTATACACTAAAGAAAACACACTTATTATATCATATTCCATTTCTGCCAATATATCCCTTTAAATCCTACACACAGAGAGCCTGTGAGCCACACTGCAATACCTAACTTCACCACAAGAGGGTGCCATATTGCATATTTTGCAAATGAAGGAATATGTTTATGTTATTGTAAAACAAGCCTGTGCATATCATAAAGTGACTATAATAACCTTTCTGAGTACTTCATAAGCCTCCTGGAAACTGTAGAACACATCAGAGTTGATGATGTTGAGAGTAGATGGGTGACACTCTGGAGCCTCTGAGGGTACCACATAGTAATCCTGTGACATTTGCATCGCGTGTCTGTCTGCATGAGACCACAGGTGCTGAGTCCACGGCTCACCGTCCTCACCTTTAGAGTACGAACACACAAGCACCGGATCATCGTGCTGTATCAAACCTCTCAGAAGTCTCTCTGTCGGGGATGAACTCTGAGAATAATCTTTTAAAAAGTAGCCCTTTAAGAGCGAATCCTTGACATTTGGCAGAAATGAGAGCATGGGAGACAAATGACACTCCGGAGGCAAGTCTCTCAACAATTTGTCTTTCAGCTCCCCGTAAAACTTGGCACGTCTGATTGTGTCGCTGCTGCAGACGAGGAGAGAGTAACACCTTCCGTAGTTGTGGATCTCTCTAAACACCCGTGGCACTTCTTCTCCCCGGTGCTTCTCACCAGTTGAAAAGTAGACGGATGCTCCATCTAGCTCCACGGAGAAAACACGAGAGGACCAGTGAGGAAGCAGAGACATAGTGCGCCGTGCCATTTGTTTGGGCTATAGGTCGTATTGACCGGTTTCAGTCTGCTATAATAACACTGACTGCGAGGCATTACATAAAGTGGGTGCTGAGGGGAAAATGAAACTGCGCTGAGCAAAGCTGGGAAAACGAAACTTAACAGTCACTATCAGCTGGGTCTGTACAGCTGATTCACAGACATGTTTCCCTAGCTCTAAGTTATGTTTGTGGACAGGTCAGAGGACATAGTTGCTGGTTGTGTCACAGCAGGGTGGTGTCTCTGTGGTAGTATTTTGGCAGGTGCTCCTTGGGTAGGGCATTTAGGCAGGGATAAAGTGAGTGAAGGAAAAGACAAGCATGAAATTACTTTTTACTTAAAGAAACAGAGACTTGGGAGAAAATAGCATTCCTCTACATAGCTCTGAAAACTAAAACAACCTTAATAATAATGCAATAATATTCACAGTAATGTTTATATTTAGACCATATTTCACCAGGATTTGCTATAGTGACCTTTTTCATCCTCCACAGTGCAAATAATAGTCTAAATAATAGTCTGTCTTCACCAAGAACCAAGAAATCACATCCAGATTTCTCATTTGAAAGCCAAAATTGCAAATCTCAGTGAAACATGGTCCAAATGCAACCATTCAGTCAGCGTCTTCAAATAGGCGGTGGAAATACTTTCACTTTTGAGCCAATTCTGGACTTCTTTTAAACCTCAAAATACTCACTGTAAGATAAAACTATATGTAAATGTGTAAATGTGGTTATATACTTGGTCATACTGACACATTTACAGCTTCCACTTGAAAGATAAATAAGTCCATGTGACACCTGCTAATACATTTGTATTTATTAAGCAACAATTTAAATATAACATGGAAAATGCTTTTTAAATACAATAACGATGACAGAAAATATGTAATTGATGTAGGGTCCCTCTGGTTTGTCGCTCTGGTTGTAGGAAGAGGTCTGATATGCTGGAAACCTGTAAATAATACATGTATTATTGCATCATTAGTACTCTACTCTGGCAGTAGAGTACTTACTGAATTAATATAAAATACAAAAGGTATATATCAGAATTAGAAAAATATAAAGTACTAAATTTAGACACAACTATACACTCAATACTATTTACGCTATATATACCTTTTACTTATGCACACATGGAATAAATATGTATGGGTATAACTTATTTTGACAGCTGTACAGGATAATTGCACATTGGATGTGTGTAGTATTAAAATAAAAACAATAACGACCTAAACATTCCATTTTACAGGCTACAGCAACAGCCCATGTAGACAATCACATGAGCAATCCATTAATACACACAAACATGCGATGTAAATAGTAAGGCAGCATGTTTATACCCCATCAATCGCTTACTGTTTTTATCTGATGTTTTATTTACATTTTGCACTTTGCAGACACCTTGTCTTTTGCCTTGCTTTGTTTTGTGCTTTGTTTTTAATGTTGTGTTACATTGTTGTACTTGTTTTGTCTACTGGAAAGCACTTTGTGATCTAGTATCTGTGAAAGGTGCTATATAAATAAACTTTACTTACTTACTTACTTTATGTTTACTGTAGCTCCCAACCGCGGCATGCTACCTGCTAGCATGCTAACAACAAGCTAGCATGCTAACAACAAGCTAGCTTGGCACAACAGCAGGGTAGCCCGCATCTTTGGCAGCATAAAATAAAACTAATAGTGCTAATTTCTGTTTTGCTTTATTGAAATACAGTAGCACAGGTACTAACAAAGTATGTAGGTGGAGGGAAGACGTGTTTATTCTGTTAGCTCCTTTTCTTCGGTTAGCCGTGACACGTCTGTACTGAACTAGTCGAAGCTGTAACGGTAGCTTGCGCATGCGCATCACAGTAAGCGCAGGTATGGTTATTATACATGAAAGATGTAGAATGTACAGATCTGATATTACAAAAATATTCTGACAGCTTCTTGCTGGCAGCATACAGACTATATATTTTCATATTCATGTTATTTTATATTAAACATTTAAAACGTTGAAATTACGTCTTGGTGTCGGCCATATTTCACCCACCAGTGCATTGTGACTGGAGAAACACCTTACACACTAATAAGTATCGTCTCTTTTTTGACCTACAACTGATCGAAATATCAAAATAATTGAACAAATTTGCATTTGTGACATGATGATGTTGTAACCATCTTTTAGCTGGTTGAAAAGAGGGTGAAATCACCTTTGAAATCCTGTATGGTGCTCACTGGGTGCTGTGAAAAGTGCTTAAAACAAGACAAGGATGCTTTTATGTATCCTTCTATATAGCCTATATCATAATAAGGGACTACTTTATGTTTTAATAATGTTGTGTAAACGTCACATGCACGACACTTTACACACGTGCATTTGACTGGTTTTAGTTTTAGCATTCAAGAATTCTATTTAATGGCATCTTATATCGATAATTTCCATGTAATCATAAGACTTACATAAAGTTTCTAATTCTTATCACCTCTGCACCTGTGATTACTACACTAATGATAAATAATGAGCGCATTATAATTTAAGCTGCAGCGTCATGTTTTGTGGATATTGACTCATCTTATATAAAGAGCTCCATACAGATAGGGACCTTAGTCAGCTGAGCAGCCAAGTTTCTGTTTCCAAACATCGAATACGAGAGCCACTTTGGTGCAGATATGTACCCAGGCAGGAGGCAGGACGTCAGATATGTAGATCTGCACCCAGCTGTGTTTCGTTTTCGACTTTTGTAAATAGAAACTCAGCTGCTCAGCTGATCGCCTGCCCTCCTCTGTTTATAAGGTGCGCCCTGCAGCCTTCTATTTAAGATGCGTCAGTATCCACGGTGCAAACACAGCAGGTGCAATACTGGTCCAGTCTGAAGATGAAATTCTCCTCTGCGCTCGTGTCTCTGAGGCTGCTGCTGCAGCTCTGCATCCGCACTGTGCACGACATCTCAGCGAGCCTCTTTTCAACTGTTTGGTACTGGACACCCAGAGTCTGCAGGGGAGCATCAGTTGTTTCAACTGCTGACAGAGAAGTGGACCAAAAGGAGGTTCAAAATGTGATGACTCCAACAAGTGTCAACTATCACTTTACACGCAAGTGTAACTACAAATGCGGATTTTGTTTCCACACTGCAAAGACATCCTTCGTGCTGCCTCTGGAGGAAGCCAAGAGGGGGCTCAAGCTCCTGAAGGAATCAGGTACATTTTACACATTGTGTTGTTTTGTGTGTGTGGTTATAAACCTGTTGCATGCAGTTAAATGTATCACTCTGTTTATTAGGCATGGAAAAGATCAACTTCTCTGGAGGAGAGCCCTTCCTGCACGATAAAGGAGAATTTCTGGGTAAATTAGTCCACTTCTGTAAACAGGACCTCCAGCTCCCAAGTGTCAGCATCGTCAGCAATGGGAGCATGATCAAAGAAAAATGGTTCCAGAAATACGGTGAGACTCCAAATTAGTGTATTAGTGTTTCATATCCTACACTAGTGGGGAGCATAATTTAGTCTTGGCAGCAATGAATGATCTAAAAAATGAACCTCACTCCACCAGGTGACGATCTGGACATCCTGGCCATCTCCTGTGACAGCTTTGATGAAGCAACCAACCAGCTGATTGGCAGAACTCAAGGCAGGAAGAGCCACATTGAAAACCTTCACAAGATCCGCATCTGGTGCCAGCAGTACAAAGTGGCCTTCAAAATCAACTCAGTCATCAACACCTTCAATGTGGATGAAGACATGACGGAGAACATCCTCCAGCTGAACCCAGTCCGCTGGAAGGTAACAACAAGAGAAAGGGAGAGTGCGTACATTTGGGTTTATGGCATATTGACACACATCGTCACTGTCTCTGTGTGTGTGCTTCCTGTGTTCAGGTGTTCCAGTGTCTGCTGATTGATGGGGAAAATGCAGGAGAGGCAGCCCTGAGGGAGGCAGAGAGGTTCGTCATCAGCGAGCAGATGTTTCAGGAGTTTCTGGAGAGACACAGCAGCGTGTCCTGCCTCGTTCCTGAGTCCAATGAGAAGGTATCATTACAGTGGCAACAAATAATACTGCACTTTAAGAAATGATTCATGGGGTTAGTGGATAACACTTAAAGATGTTTTTCAGCATAAAAAAATATGTTTGTTTTATTAACGTTTTTTTTTATTTTAAAAAGTTGATCATAATCAGAACATTTTTGAGTTGGATGGAATTAAAATAGTTTGACCACTAAATATCATCACAGCGTTTGGATAAATATTAAATTGGTTCAACTTAATTAAGCTGTTGGAGGTCAAAGCAAATTATGTCGGTTGTACTAAATTAATTAAGTTTCTCAGATTATGAAAGAGTCATAGGATTAACTCAATATTGCCTGATTTTGAGCTACTTAAAAGGATACATGCACATTGTTACTTTAAGTTTTTTAAAGTTGAACCAAAAGATTCCATTTTAGATTGCACTCTAAAAAAAGATTCATGGAGTTAGTGGATAACACTTAAAATTAAGATGTTTTTCCAGCATAAAAAATATATGTTTGTTCTTTAACGTGTTTTAGCCCGTTGACAACTTATTTTAAGAAGTTGATCAAAATCCAAACTTTTTCCAACATTTTTGAGTAGGATGCAATTAAAAGAAATAGGTTTGAATATCTTGAATAAAATAGTTTGACTACCAAAACCTTTGGATAGATATTAAGTTGGTTCAACTTAATTAAGCTTTTGGAGGTCAAAGCAAATCATGTTGGTTGAGCTAAACGTATTGAGTTTCTCAAATTCCAAATTTGCAACTACTTAAAAAGATGCATGCACATTGTTCAGAGTGCACTCTAAAAATGATTCATATAGTCAGTGGATAAAGCTTTTAAAAAAAAAAAAAAAGATGTTTTTCAGCATAAAACAAAATGACGTTAGTTCCATTAGCATATTTTAGTCAGTTTAATAAGTTGCTCAAAATCAAAATATTTTCGGCATTTTTGAGTAGGATGCAAGTAAAATAAATTTCTTTAAATATCTTTGACCACTAAATATCATCACAACCTCTGGACAAATATTAAGTTGGTTCAACTTAATTAAGCTTTTTTAGGTCAAAGCAA